CCCCCCAAATCTGATTGGAGGTACCCATAAATAGAGAAAATCAACATGTAAATGTGTTTGAGATGTGTGGCCCAATCTGAGCCCATGGGTTTAGCAACGAATTGCGAGTCATGAGGTCCAATGGGCTCAAGAGGCCCATTGGCTCTATGGCATGATACACATCGCAAAAACTGAATTTTGTTCCAAATCCCACGTTTTTTAAATGATTTTGTGAAATTTTGTCAAATTTGATGGTTTATAAGATGTGAATGGACTCTAAAATCTTGAAATTTAGATATATTTTCCTAACGGTTAATACTTAGGAATATAAGGTTGGACTACTATTTGGGATTTATACTATATTTTTGTAGTCCTACAGTATACGAAGCTAGTGTGGCCCCTAGGGTTTTAGAACTCGGACATAATTCTAAATTCAAAGGGGTATCTACAATCACCCATCGTTTGGTACTCCCTATACTTCAAGGGACATGTGAGTAGTAACAAAATAGGCACCTGTAACAGATGAAAACTTGAATTCCTAAACGATGTTGTTAGTAAGTGACCATCCTATCAAGATCATATGCATGTCAACTGCCATTGTACTATGGATTTTGCAACTTGCATATCTCTTCCCATGGCTTACGACCTGAGCATATATCAGATGCTTTTGCCAAAGGACATGTCGAGCTTACTGCATAGGTCCCACCATGCCATTGACTCTAGGTTTTAAAGTTTAAAATGAAAGATGGATTCTGAATTTAGCTTGCTCAAAGTTCCTTACCCCTTTTGGCACCTAAAGTTCTCCTAAGGCTACATGTTCGAGGTTAGGAAGGTTACAAATTTCCTTTACAAGTTTTAAGGATTTATAATGATCTTGAAGGGTAGGTTTTGGCTTTTCAAGGAATTTTCTCTCCTTGATTCATTCTTGATGGACTTCTGGCTCAAGCAATCCTCTCAGATTCTGGTATGGTGTCATCATTATTGTGGCCTGACCCAACTCCATTGTTTAGAAGGCATTTGAGGTACATTTTGAACATAGGCAGAAGTTTTAGAAATAGACACTAGCGTTAGGTTATGATTTAAACCAAAAAATATTGAAGTTTTGGAAATCACAATTACATAATTGTGAAAGCATTCAAATTGGGATAGCCCCCATATTGAAGTTTAGAAATTTAAAACTTGAAATTAAGAAATTTAAAAGCATATTTATTGAAAGATAACTTAGTTGGCAGTTTAAGCTCATGTAAATATGGAGTCTACGTTACCCACAGTTTAATGTCATGTCGAGGACGAGATCATGAAATTCAACATCGTGCCAAGGACAGACTCATGCAGTTTAATGTCTTGTCGAGGATGAAATCACACAATTTAACGTCATGCCGACTACTTATTCGAATTCGATTTTGAAAGAAAGAATAAAATATAGAGTAATTTAAGACCCTTCCATCGTGAGGCTTATTTTGAGAACTTTGAAAATTAGAACTCCATAAAACACATTAAAAACTTTTTTAGAAGATAAATATTTTGAACTTGTTATTTGTGAAGAGGGGACCTTTTGAAATATCTTTTGAAAAGAAATATTTTGACCCTTTTGGTGGAAGTTTTGATTTTAATTTGTCTTTTTTAAAGACTAATCTTCTGAAAACCTAACTCGAAAACTAAATTTGGGAAAATAAATTGATGCCCCTTGTGTTTTGCTTTTTTAAAAGCTTGGGCTGGATTGGTTACGTTATGTGAACTGATCTAATCTTGTCTGAGACTTTCAGGACCAGGAATCATCTAGTATTCCCTTGCTCTCAAAGCGCAATCCTCATGTCATAATCCAAAGAAAGGTTCGCGATATTTTCAGGCAAATCATATCTTGAAGATTACACTGACCATAGTGATTGAGGTTCCCTTGGTTTTCCAATTTCAGGCCTTGACAACTGATCCTAAAGTTCGAATGATCAATATCCTTTTTGTTTTGTGCCCCGAGGTCCCTTTCAGTTTTTCAGCCTGGTGGTTTTTTGTTCTTTTTTATTTCTTTTTTCTTTTTCCAACCACACGGGGTTCTTTTCGAATGCTCAACTAGGCAAGATTTTCTTTTTATGTCAACAAGTTTTTCTATCCTCGTTGCCTCTAGCCTCCGGTCATCACCTTTCAGTGTCTGCTCATAGCTCAGACGTCTGTTGGCATGTGAGTTTGGTGGTCTGAGTAATCACCTTTTCAACACTTTTGGGACTTTAATTAGCAATGGTTACAATCTAGTCAACTCTACTTCTTGTGAAATTTCACCCAAACTGGTCGTTCTTGATTTCAGACTGTCTACTTCGGATTTTATCTTGTCCTTGGGGCTGTTTTAGAGTGTCTTCCAAGGTTCCAAGCTCTGTCAGGTAGCTTGGGTAATTCAAGTTGTAAGGTGGTTGTCCCGGGGAGGACTTTGGTTCTTCGATAGTTTCCTCAATCGGGATTGGACCGTCTACAACACATCATGGAAACAAAATTTGTTCAAATCCCAAGATTTTTCCTTGATTTCAGTGATTTTATGAGACTTTATCAGATTTGATAGTTTTTAGGATGTGCATGAACTACGAAAAGTTGAAATTTAAGTCTTGTTTCTTAAAATGGTTGAGTTTGAGAATATCCTTAAGGTTGGACAACGGTTTGGAATGTGGGCTACAATTTAGTTGTTCTATGGTGTATGATGTGGCCGTTAGAACCTAACCAAAATTCCAAGCTCAGAGGGATTGGCTACATATACATTTGGGATCATTCAATGAGGCCTCAACCTCATCGACTATCCCTATTATGTTGTCATCTCCAGTTGTGGGAGTTGGGATTTCTTCAGGTTATGTGGGGCATCTTGGTTATATGGAGTTTTCTCCGGTTATGATGTGCTCCACCCCTATTGTCAATGACTCCTTGAGGGTTTAATGTTCAGTTCTATGTCCCACTTTGGTGGGTCATCTACAGTGTGTCATTAAGGTCGTTGTCATAATGTGTCTGAGAGGTCGACGTAGGATTCTTGATGAGGCGGAGTGGCTAGGCCTTCATTAAAAATGATGGTTGTGCTGAGTTTCTCTATCCGTGTTCACTTGGAGTATGGTAACCATTTCATCATCCCCCTCAGATGCGTTGTGTTTGATATATGGTGATGATAACCCTCGTAGTATTTTGAGGAAGTCCTCTTGTGCCTCTTGAGGTTGCTGACGAGATGGTGAGAATATGTCATTGATCAGTAGGACAAGCAACCATGGGTCTTTAATTTTAGGTTATCTAAAATTAGAGCAACATTATTTACTTGTTTAGTTGCACAGATAAAAGAAAAAGAAAAAGGAAAACATCATGGGAACATATAATTTAACTGATTACAACCTCTTACAAAAGGGGTGAAGATATTCTTATTGAGGTTGGGAGATATTAATCTTTCATTTCAATGAAGTACCTCATTATAAAAAAAAAGAAAAAAAATTCAGAAATGCCCAAATTCTTTTGTTTACATTTGGAAACTTTGAACAAGCAGATGCATTTCATTAATTTAGCCCACCCTAAGCAAGCGCGTAATTTGGTTGACCTTATAGGTGGGGCTAACTACTAAAATACACCTACCTGTTCAGGTTCCTAATCTTAATACAGCTACAATTTGGGTACTATTGGAGACCTTTTTTAAGGGAATACATGAATAAATGAAAAATACAATCCTTACAAATTCATGAACATACCAAAACATATAGTTTATTTTTAAATTTTCATTTCACTCAAGTACCTCAAAAAAATATTTTTCATAATTAACCAAATTCCCCAATTTATGTCCCTAATAAAAAAGGATGTTTCAATAATTTAACCTATTTAAGGGGCCCCAGATAAAGAACTTGAGTATCCAACTTGTTTAGGAAAATTAAATTATTAAAATGGCCCTTCTTGATCAAGTTTCCAACCCAAACGCATGGTGTATATTTTTAATTATATTTAACAGGTTCCTTACCAAAATGTAGCGTGGGTCTGCAATTCTATATGTGCTTCCCCTAAGTTACCCAACATCCATCATAGAGATGGATGTAAAATTATGGTGATCTTACCAAAACCCACAAATCAACCATTTAAAAAGTACATTAAAAATATTATTTTTAATTTTTAAAATTATTATTTTTTATATTCATGTTCACTTAGTATAGATTATCGAACTTTAATTGGATCAAAGTCCATCTTGGAGATGAATTTTGGAGAGAGGACTCAATTTTAAACGTTTAAATTGTATAAATAAGTACAGATATAGATTCTCAAGCCAGGTTCCCAACATCAAAATTCTACGTCCAAACAAAATTTAGTGGTGCGCATTATTTCTGCCGTACGAGGAGGGCACCTTATGTAAACCTCACCAAAATTTAAAAGCAAATTCGAAAATAAACCTCGAAAGCAATAGTGCGAAAACCGGACCGAGCCAAGCGGTTCAACCGGTGAAATGGTATGTTCTCGAGTACGATTTAGTTAATGAATCAGTGGATCCAAAATGGGGCAAAAAGGATGGTTTCTACCCCCATAAATAAAATTTACCATTAAAATTTAAGAATTGCAATTAATATTAGAAAGTTATCTAAAAATGTGTCATTAAATTTCTATTAAAAATATAAGAAAGTTATTTACTGGGAGAGCTATTAAATGGCACATTCTGAAAACTGATTTTAATAAATATAAGAAAGCTATGTAAGAGTACATTCCAAAAATTGATATTCATTTTTAAAATATATTTGCAGCATTTTTTTATTTTTCGATTTTAAGTCCGAAAAATGCAAAAAATATAGAAAATCCACAAAATAGGAAAATAAATATATAAATAAAAAAGGAAAAACTTTTTAGTATTTGAGTTTTCAATTTTTTTTCCTTATTTATTATAAAATACAAAAAGAAAAATATAAATAGAAAAGAAAAAACTTTTTAAGTTTTTGTAAATTGCAGTTTTTTTTTTTTTTTTTATTTTTTTTTTTTAATTTTATTTAATATCTTAAACGAGGTCTGGTTCGGCCAACCCAAACGAACCAGTGCCTTCATTGGTTCGATCACCAGTCTAGTCATGACTCATGAAGTTAGTATTTTCCTGGAAATTTTTTGTTTGAGATAGAAATTCTAGGGTTTCGTCTCTCTCGCTCCATAGACGTATATAAGGATAAAAGTTCTAGGGTTCATTTTGCTCACTTTCTATCTCTTACTTCCTCTGGAATCTGGGGTTTTGAAGATGCAGATCTTCGTAAAAACCCTAACTGGCAAGACCATTACTCTTGAGGTCGAGAGCTCCGATACGATCGACAATGTCAAGGCCAAAATCCAGGACAAAGAGGGCATACCACCAGATCAACAACGCCTCATCTTCGCAGGTAAGCAGCTCGAAGATGGCCGAACCCTAGCGGATTACAATATCCAGAAAGAGTCGACTCTTCATCTGGTTCTGAGACTTAGAGGAGGAGCGAAAAAGAGGAAGAAGAAGACTTACACTAAACCTAAGAAGTTAAAGCACAAGAAGAAGAAGGTGAAGCTCCCTGTTCTTCAGTTTTACAAGGTTGATGACTCTGGTAAGGTTCAGAAACTTAGGAAGGAATGCCCTAATCAGGAGTGCGGAGCTGGAACTTTCATGGCGAATCACTTTGATAGGCACTATTGTGGAAAGTGCGGCCTCACTTATGTTTACCAGAAAGCAGGAGCAGAGTAAATGAAGCACTTCCTTTGTTTTGAGATCTAGGGTTTTATATGGCATCTTTTGAAATTATTGGGTTTTCTGTTAATGTGTCGGATAATTACGGTTTTTGGACCCGCTTTTCTGATTCATTTAGGAGATAGAGTGAACTTTGGATATTGAGAATTGTTTTCCTTTTTATGTTTGGGATTTTGACATTTAAGAATTAAGTTAAAATTGTGTTACTTTTGGATGTTTGTGGTTTCTTATCTTCTGGTTTTTATCTGTGTTTCCTGTAATGGTAATTAATATTGTGATGAGATTTTTATCTGTGTTTCCTGTATTGATAATTATTATTGTGATGTGATTTCTCTTTGATGTTACAGTATTAGAGATTAGAGAATGTGTATTTTGATGGTATTGTCTTAGAGGTTACAGATTGCATAATTTGATGGTACTGTCTTAGAGATTAGAGATCGTGTAGATAAATAGACTGAGGGTCTTTACCATATATTTGTGCTTAACAAAGGCCTTTGAAGGGGATAGATGCAACTTCAAGACTAATGTTTTTATTATAAGAGAACTGAAAGGTTATTGTTGCGAGGTGCTAGGCCAAAGAGTTCCAATGCTAGTAGACCTTAGCATTTCTGGTGATCCATGTAGGGTGTGCTGCTTTATGCATGTGTTGATGATCTGTGTAGCTCACAGTATACTCAGGCTATAGATGTTTGCTTTTAAATGCTACAAAAGCAAGTGTAGCAAGCCTGGGATCTGGTGCTTAGCTTATTCCAAAATCCAGCATTATCTTAGAGCATGGGAATTGCTCATTTGCTACTTTAGGATCACAGATGGTTCAGTTGACTATCAGATAAATGTAACTTGTAGGGGAGATGAAAATTCTACAATGAATATATGTAAGTTATCATCATCATCATCATCGTCAATATAGGATTAGGATTCATGAAAAGATGTGGCAAAATTTTATGCTGGCTGCCCTACCTAACATAACTTTCCTTTGTCTGGGCTTGGGAACGGCATGACTGGCTTGGGACTGGCCATAACGGAGTTACAAGTTAGAATATATTTGTTAATTACTATTGAAAGGACAGGGAAAGTTTATATATAGCTGAGGCTCTAAACAATCAAATTTGAGCCTACCTCAAAACTTTCACTAGAAGAGGTTGTTTTGATACCCAAATATCTTCACATTGATCATCTCAACATCAAGATGTATGGACATGAGAAAAAAATGGATTGTAAGTTTTGAAAATAGTGTGTTTTATAATGTATTTTTGGACCGTCAATTTTCAAGATTTTCAAGTTTTCATAGATATGTCGATCTACACTGATGTTGAAGCTTTAAACTTTATAAATAAATAAGAAAATATATTTTAAGGCTATCACAAAGATTTTTGAATATTGAAACCACATTTCGCGACACTATTTGAAGGTAGGCTCTAATTTGATTGTTTAGAGCCTACGCCCTTTACAAACCGCATCCAAAGTTACAAGTTAGAATATATGTGTTAATTAATATTAAAAAGCTTTTGAAGGATTGTCTCTGGATATGTTTTGTGAATTAATGCCCTTAGTGCTTTGCTTTGGAATGTCTAGTTGGGACCTTATGGTCTCAAAAGTCTTGCACATGATGATTATAAAAGGGATTGAAGGATAAGTATTGCTTATGCCTATCATAATATGGTATGGGGACTTGCCTCAAAGCTGATAGGTATATGTACTTGCTTCAATTTTTCTTATTACCTTACCTTGTTTCTAATGACCTATTGCAGCATGGTCCCCATATATTTTGTACACGAAATTGAAAAAATGACTGGCACCTGGGATTGTGCTTTTACATCCGCAAGAAAAGCATTTACAATTGTTAACACTTATTAGAATGTAACTATGTTTATAAATTATTGATGATAAAGAATGCTTAGAAGGGATTCATGTTATGTTTATGCAGACCCAATCGGTACTATAATATTATTAACTTAATGTTTTGATTAATTGATTTTTGTATTAAATATTGTTTTAATTTAACTAAGGTATTAATTAAAATCTTATTAGATATTTAATTTTTATATGAGTAATAATCCAATGAGACCCTCTCACACCCATGTGTGTAGGACTTTAAAAGATCATCATTAAATTTGGCACAGATCTCTAAATATGAAATTAATTTAATTAAACACATATATCACGATTATAAATTG